GAATCACAAATATATAAAATAGAATGCCAAGTCTCAAAAGCTAAATTAGTATCAGTAATGTGTGAACGGAAATTAGAGGCGTGTTCCGAAAGTCAGCCAAAAATAGAGACTCAACGAACACTTTGAAATTTCTATAACGAATAGAAACATGATTGTTTGATTGAGGGAAGGAACGGAGTTTGCGGACCACGAATATAGGGTTATGGTCCGAAATACCCAAGTTGTGAATGAGAGCCAAATTAACGTTTTCATTATGATTTACATAAACATGGTCCAGACATTTACCGGACGCAGGCCTCGTAACACCATTAATAATTTGAGAAAAGCCTAAATCAGCTAAGCAATTAAACAAGTAATGAGTACAATTAGATAGAACATCATAATTAAAGTCACCAAAAATATACATTTCTTTACCTTCTAGATAAGCTTTTTCAATGTTATGAGCTAACAGCACATCTATGTTATGAAGAGTACTTGGAGGTCTATAAACGCAACCAAGTAAAATAGACCTACAAGTGGGTGGAGTTAATTCAATCCACATAATTTCAATAAAATTGTTCTCAAGGTCAAGTCTACGACTGAAAACGAAGTCGGAGTTGATGAAAGCCACAAGACCACCCCCTCTCCCGTTTGGACGGTCCCGCCTAATTAAATTGAAACCATTAATATGAAACTCATTGTCATGGTAAGACGAATTGAGAAAGGTTTCACATACAAAAAATAAGTCGACTTGTTTTTTACAATCAGCAGTAAGTATATGGGGTTAATCTGCACTGGCTCGGAAGGTTGTAAATGATTAGCTAGTTTGAATTTGCATAACAATACTGACAATGAACGTGCATTCAACGCCACAAGTTTTTTTGTTTTTTTAGCCAATCAGCCGTGAATATGGGTTGTTATATGCACAATATTTACAAAATATTTGCCGAAAATAATATTTAATACGTATATGGCTCGTTTCGCTAATTACAGATAATCAAAAATCTGTAATCAGCGAAACAAGGGTCTTACACGTACAATATTTAGAACTGTCGGACGAAGCTTTACCAGCATATTCCCCTTTCAGTCGTGTAAATAACGACATAACACATTTGCCGAAAATAACGGAATTTTAATTAGTAAATTGTTTGTTTCGTCTTTGAATAGAATATATGTGCTAAATATTTCCCCGTGTCAGGCGCCCATGGCAATGACAGTTAGTATTCATAATATTTTCAATTTTTTTTTGACATTTGACAGAATCCTAATATCTGATTCAAGAAATCATGTGCGCCTGACATTGGAAAATATTTTAAAATGTAAATAAAATGCATATTGTCCCACTCTGATTTCTCCTGTGAAGGCTGTATTCGTTACCGGAAAACTTTAGATATATTTGAAAATTATGGATAAGTGTGTGTATCATGGATGTACTTCATAAGATTTTATTTCTAAACTATCGTTTTATCGGGGGTGAATAGTGTGGGGTGTGTGAACATCGCCGACTGGAGTTTTTATGTCCTGTATTTATACACAACTTTGAGGTACTGCCGTAACAAGTAATACAATAACTTATTATCGGTCGCCAAGGCAAATAAACAACAAACACAGCGTTGAATTTATATACTCTATGCATTTATTATATTTTTAAAAACGTTTTTCCTGTGTCAAATATCCGTGGGAGAAATATTATAGTAAAAAATGTTTTCTTTTAAGTAGCGCCATCTAGAGGTTATCCGGAGTTACAAGCCGATGTAACTGTTGACCTTACGTTAACCCTGAATGGCGGGAGTATTTAATCACGTGCCCGGTAGAATTTGTTGTTTGTTTGGCGTCCATTTGCGACGTAAGGACAGACTTCCTGACAAACTTCTTAACGGTTGGTGTAACATTTTCAACGGAAATATCGAAAGGTAATGCATCTTGTATATATATCGCCTCTATTATCTCATGATTTTTAGAAAATGTTATAATTATTGTCCTCATTTGCCGGATGATCTTCGAATTTTTAACTTAAATGTCAAACCGGAAGCGACACATCTGGTTTAAAAACCAAGTACCATCGTTTTCGTTCGTCAACATTTTGTCGTCCTGTAATTTACTTAAAACTGGTCAGTAGCTTGCCAGCATGGTTCATGTCCATTGTGCGACTTACTACAAAAAACAGTTGGAGGGACTGTGATGCCAGTAAAATAAAAAGAAGTTAAAAATCAGTTGTTTATAGTGATCTGAACCTCGGACAATAGCAAATCAGTCAATGTGTGCATGCAATGCTCAAAAGTCAGTGTCAAAATTGGATCTAAAATTCATTTTGTCTCCAAAATTGTGGCAGATTGATTCAAAGATGCACAATTGTGACAATAGAAAAAAACGACTTCTTCAAAATTGACCAGATCTTGAAAACGTCATAATTTTTCATGGTTGTTCATATTATGTCGCAATTAAGGTGGCAGCAGAAGATGTGTCACATCTATTGAGAATCTCTTGCTTTGTCCCTACAATGATCTCTATATGGTCTAAACATTGATGTTCAAATTGACATGTGATTGTATGGATGGTTTCGACCACCATTTGCCACCCCAATATTTTCGGTCACACGTTTTATAGACTTTTATTATCCCTTATCATATACCTCTTATTGCCGGACCTCGTAACGCTATGGAAATCTAATAATTTTCCATATCATGCCCGGACCCCGTTTACCATATTTGGTAAACGCGTCTATTTCCTGCAACTACTTTCTGTTTACAAACAACGCGCGTAATTTGAGTCTACACTTCGATAATGGCTGACGATATTATTCTGTGGATGGGGAAATGTACTGAAAGACCAGTTGGACTCATTATTACTATGACGAAAGCCGGCATTCCACCACAACCAATCATAAATATAACTGGTCACAAAAACGTGTCAATAGGATACTCACACTCAGCTTGCATCGGTGTCGCTGGATACACCCAGCGACACCAATGCCAGCTGACTGTGATGATACTGTCTGACAACGGAAGATCATCGGCGCATTTCAGATATTCTTAGTTGAGCTACGCCAGAATCTGGAACTGTAAACCAAACTGCTTCTGGTCGAGCAATTTGTTCTCGTTCACCGACTACGGTTTTTTAACAATAGTGAAATCAACATGTCTCTACCTGCGGTTACAACATCAGCTCCAAGAAAACGTCAGTTGTCGGACGGTCAGTAAATGACAAACTTAGGTGGACTGTAGTGTCCATTCTTAAGTTTATAATGAGTTCGTATTTATTACCGTTAAAATATTGTTTTAAATTTACATTCATTCGCTGTTTCATTAAAACGTAATTTGTGGATACATTTGGTGACATTCGTTTGTCTATTATGTGAGAGATGTTGACACGTTTGCGTCGTTTAGAATCCTCCGTATAAATCCACGCCAGTAAAAAGGCACGTATCTAAACTCGGATAAAATCGAATAGGTTCTCTTTTGGCCAGATAAGCGAAAAATAGCATAGCTAAAGGCTTTTATTTTCTTATAAGGTATATGATAAAACCTTTATGGACTGGATATGACTTTTGCTGCCCTCGCAAGCTCGGGCGCTTCCGCAGCACGACCTCGGGCCACAAAAGCCGCATCCAGTCCATGAGGAATATTGTTTCGCAAACCCGCCGAATGAACAGGAGCCGAAAATGAAATTTTATTTAAGCGTAATTTCTTGTAAGCGCAAAAAGTTGCTAAAAAAATATTATTTTTATCTTTACTTTTTTACCGCCCGTCGCATAACAAATCCAAGTTGCATTTTCGTGTGAGTATCATGATCAAAGTACCAAGGTCTCGCGCAGATGAGAAATGAGGTTATACATGGAATAAAATTTTATTCATGTCTTCTTCGATCAATGATCTCACAATTCTTTGAGAATCACACAAATCTAATGGGGGGAAAAAGAATTATTTTTATTTTATTTTCACCCTCAAAAAAATTGTCTTATAAAAACCCGAGAAACAAGGAATAAAAAAAGTCTGGCCTAATGGATTGAGTTTTTGCAGTTATATATATTTATATTACATATTTTGTTTTTGTATGCCGTCCTTGTAATGTACCAAAACTTAAGTAAAAAATAATATGTAAATATGTCTTGCTTGTAACAAATAAGTTATTGGTAACAAAAATTAAGCCACACTTGCAACACATTATGTGTACCACGTCATTAGTTTTGTATGAATCTGTGCAATAGGATGATTAGGGACATGGCTTAAATTTTAGACGTTTTTGATCAATATTGAATTTACTTCACAAATTTGTACTTTCTACAGTTTCTTAAATTTCTTATGTTCTGTTCTAGAGATAAAAATGAGTGAAGATAGGAAATCACCTACTATGGCAGTGGAAGAAGCAGCTGTACCTGAAGAAGCAGCACATGAAAATGAAAATATATCCAAAAAGTGGCAAGGTTAGTGTATCTGGATTATCTCATTGCAATTCAATGGGACTAAAGGAAATGAAAAGAATGTGATTAGATTACAAAATGTATGATATGTAGTTCACTAAGTACATGTACATGACAAAAAGGTAAAGTGAGACAGGGAACCCTAATTAGGTACCATGGTTATAATGATTTTATGACTCTAAGTTAGTCACAATTTCAGGTAAATCTTGTAAGAAAATGTTAATCCTTCATCCAGTCCTCAGCCTGTTAGAGGTTTTAAGTTTAGACATCTGCAACATTTATTGATGCAAAGTAGATTTGTGTGTCTGAAGAGCCTTTCCTTTCTTGTGTTCTTCTTAGGTTCTATTATGAAAGATGATGATGCCTCATTGGATTCTGAGATAAGTATTCCAACTGATGGTCTACTGACACCTGCCATGGTACAAGAAGAAAAACTACTGCATAGACAGACTGTAAAAGAAACCAAACAACTGGAAAAACAAGTAAGTGTAATTAGTAACATGACATAGTTCAGTAATGTTTAAACTTGGTACACAGAGACAATGTACTGTTGCACTTAGATGCAAGTTGACTTGGCATCATATAAATATGCTAAATATTCATACAAGTTCAATGAGATGGAAGAATGTGACATTCTCAATGACTACTTAGCTAAATGAAGCACAATTTTTAGATGTTAAAATATTGTGTGAATTATCAACCTTTCCAAGGAGAGCATTGTGTTGCAATATGAATAGATACTTCAGGGTGAAAGTTTTTTTTTGTCAGGCGGAGGATGAATGGGAGGCCAATATGCAGCAGCAAAGATACAAACGTTTGCAGCATTTACTGGAGACAAGTAACATCTATACCAATTTTTTACTGTCAAAAATGGAAGCACAACAAAAACGAGAAGAAGAGAAACGAGCGAGACAGGAGAAAAGAATGAAAAAAAAGTTGATGAAACAAAAACAAGATGAGGTATTTGTCATGTTGTAGATCATATGTTATTCTAATCTGACAAATTTGATGAGACAAAAGTTAAAAGGCTGTAATTTTTGTTATTTTCATGTGATAATAATACTTGATGTGATATGTGATAATATGCAAATTGTTGATTCTAATTTTGGTAGTAACGGGGAAAGTAAAGAAAATTTAACTCTGAGCAAACATGCATTGTAAAGTAATGTTTCCCACACAAACATTCAGTTATTCAGTGATGATTAATATCATAACATACACAAAATTTCCCAGCCATATGAGAATAACACCGTACAGATAGCTTTAACTATGTACAGTTCATTTAATCTGGCTTACTTTGTGACAATAATACAGGTGAATACAGATGAGTTTATTTATGAGCACAGTGTATAATAAACCTCTGAATTTTGCGTCTTAAATTTTACTGATTACAACTTATCCTAAGTACACTGACTACATGTAGTCAATCTCAAATTTGCTTTGACATCATCATATGCCATACCTTGACCCACCAGTCAACACTTCCTCGTGAGATAGGGACAAGGAATTTGCATGAATTATACACGATATCATTTTATTTCTGTTGATTATTCACACTGTCTTCTATTAAGCCCACCGTACCTGTAATCATCTATTCCAGGTTGTTAAAACTGGTGAAACTAAAGAAGCAACAAAGACTAAATCTGTAGATACAAAAACACAAACAGGTATGATGTTGTATAATACCAGGTGTAATATATATGAGCAATTTTTGAGAATTAAATGTAATTATAATTTTAATTTATGATGGCCACAATAGTGCAATATTTACAATATTAAGCATCGCATTAAAACATTAGATAAACATGCATGTTGAGACACTTATAATAGAATGTAATCAAAACCAAAGTCATTTTTTTTCTCATTACGGGGGGGGGGGGTATGATGTTTATGCAGGCCCTTATTATTGCAAAACTCAGCTGAGACGATGGAGCTATTTTTCCCGTAAGGTCACTTTTTTGTGGTAATTCTTCGGTTGACACGGAATAGTGTTCAAAGCAGCAGGCACTTTTAAATTGTGTTGTCATGCAGTTGATACAATTACATTTTACTGAAAATTGCCACATTTGCAGTTGGTTAAATATATTATTATTGTCCTTCAGAAGTTACAAGCCAGACTGTGGAAGAGGGCACTAAAAGAGGACGTAAAAGAAAAGCGAAAGATGAAACCTACAGTATAGCCTCTGTTCTCAAGAAAGAGGTAATAATTTAACATTCTGGTATTTTTAATTCTGGACTGCATTGCTAAATATTGTCATATAACAAAGTTACCTTGTGTTTAAGAAAATTACTTGTTTAAGACGATGTATGTTTTAATCTTTTAAGTATACATTTTTCATTGACAATTTAAGGATCTTGAAAATAAGAGACGAAAACTTGGTACAGATAGTACAGATGGACCTCAGTGTGAACCTGTTGTTTCAGAAAATATACAAGTAAGTCTCCATCCCATAAATGGCAAGAATGTCATTTGGCTTAGTTGAATACATGCTGAGTGAATTCGTTATTTTGATGATGAAATGCACTATTTACATATGTATAGAATATGGGTTTCCTGGGAAATAAACCTGGACATGTTTATGTGTTGGTGTTATATTTTGCAAATTATTACAAGTACCGCTATTGTATGTAACCTGAGCTACAAACTTGAGACTTGTGGATTTTCATGTCTGGTTGTCCAATATCCAGCCATATCTTGCACATGCTTGAACTGATCATGGAGGTAAAAAGAGAAGGAGTCACAGCCAAAATAATCCTTCTAAACTTCTTTTGTTTTAGACAAGTTTAATCCTATAATTCCCTTTGTCTTATCGTCCTTTCACCCCAGGATCGTCGCCGACGCGTCATTTACTCTCAAGCCTTGCTGCGTACAGTAAACATTCCAAGGTCTTGTTTTATGGTGTCACAGTAAAAGCCAAAGGACATAAAGCATGCGCAGATATTTTATACGTAGAGGAATCGTGTTTGTGAGAACGGGAAAGTTGGAATTTTGAAAATCAGAGAATTTCTTGTTAAGTTTATGTAATTTTTCGTTTTTCAGCACATTTTCCGTTGTATTTTTGAATCAGCAATATTGTAATGTTTCGAAACCTTGCTAGTACTGTTTTTTAGTCCACAATAAAACTCGTTTAATGATCTTTGCAATGGTGCATGGCATGGACCGCACCACGTTGTACCAGAAACTGAATTTTGAGGTTCAAAATGACGCTTTTTGAAGTTTGTATCCCTTGTATGTCCTACTTCCTACGGCAGTGCGTCAACAAGAAATTCACTGCATTTTTTTGTTTTTGAGCAATCGTTTCGTTCACAGCATATGGAAAACAATTTTTCGTCTGTAATATGCTCTTCGATTTCGTTTACATCTTCTGAATTGAAGGACATAGCAGTTTCAGCATCGTAGTCAAACTCGTGCGCGTTATCGATCGTTGCCATATTTGTTTATAAGAATTTGACAGATTTGTCACGAAAATCACAGAGTGCCGCCGAAGGCGTCCGTAGTATGCTAATTCACGGTAATCCTCGCTGCGCTAAAAGAAGCTGTCCTCCTTGATCCGTTCGGCAAATAAACTCCCTGATCTATGTACAAACAGCGGCGACCATCCTGGTACCTTTGATCTAAGCTTGGCTGTGACTCCTTCTCTTTTTACCTCCATGAACTGATCAAGTTCAAACTTCACATATACATTATTTGTTTCATGATTTGATTCATATCATAACAAAACACACATGCATTTTTGTCACCATCATATCTAAAATGACT